TTCCTCCTCCACCCCTATCCTGTTTACCCTTACTGGTCTTCCTCTTTAATAAACTACTTTCGAACAACCCTCTGACTCAGGCTTTGCTGCTGGGGAACCTGAATAAAAATAGGATACTTTAAATTTCTTTCCCATTTTCAAAAGTCCATCTCTTTTAAAGTGTTGCCACTCTGGTGGACCATGACATTGAATGTTCATTATTCTCTTCACAACTGTGATAGCCCTTCTACTACTGTGAGCCAGGCCCTTTTCATTTGGTATGAAAACAAAAGCTCAGTTTTGCTTCCCTATCTGTTCAGTAAGATTCCATTTTAACTAAGAATATTTTTTGAGTGAATAATCTGATGCCAAATAAAAATTTGTCTTTTCAAAAACACTTTATCAGTAGGTATTTTCTCATCATGACTACTTTCTTAAATGCTTTGAACCAAGGGGATATTGGCATTTCTTTGTTGACCAGAGAGATGGCTCCTTACTTAACTTGACATTTTCTACTTGTCATTAAGAGGTAGAAGTTTGGGTGGCTGGCATCTAGTTCGGTGTTGCTGTTGCACTAAGCTGTCTTCTTGCTGTCATTCCTTGACTTGTTATATTAATTGTCTTACTGCTGAGCAACAAAGTAACCCCAAAATTTAGTGGCTTAAAACAACAAACATTTATTTAGCTCATGATCCTGCAGGTCAGCAATTTTGTCTGGGCAGTAATGGCCTTAACTGAACTCTTGCAAGTGTCTACAGTATTTGCTGGGTTCTTTTACATCTGTGCAGTCTCAGTTTGGACAACAAGGTTGATTCTTCTTTGTTCTACGTTGTCTATTATGTTTCAGCAAGCTAGCTTGGACTTACATGGCAGAGGACAGTTTCTCAAGAGAGCCAATGGAACTGAACAATGCTTCTTGGCACAAAAAAGTCACATCTACTTCATTCCATTGCTCATCACAAGTCATGAAGCCAGGGCAGAATCAAGGGAGGGCTGAGGGAAGTGGGGTGGGCCCCGCTTCTTGATGGATGTGGATACTTGGAGGGGTTAAGAATTGTGGCTATTTTTGTGATCTATTGCAGCTGCATTTTCTGTATTCAGAAGCATCACCTGGTGCTGTTTTGTAGGACTCAGCAATGACAATGGGCCTATTAGTGAGAGTGACATTTTCAGGAAGGCCTTGGAACAGCTGGTGCTGTACATGAACTCAGGAAACCAGTTATTGCATAAAAACTTTCTGAAGTAGGAGGTAGTTCAGAGGTTCTTGTATCTCCTTTCTTCTCTGCAAGGTAATTTTTCCCTCAATATTCAGTTGTGTTAAAGATGATGGTTTATGGCCATTACTACTGTTTTTTAATATCTTTTTAAAAATTAATTTTCTTTAAATAAAAGTAATGACAACCATCTTTATTATACTTAGGGTTGTGAAAATAATACCTGATTCATTGGTATTTGGTAAAAATCTCATATGAGCCCACAAGATGGAAATACTACTTCTTGAATATCCTTGTGTTTTATGGTCTGTGTTTCCATGCTCTCATTTTTCTAGGGTATTGTGCATGTTGGTATGGGTTCTTCTTTCTCTCACTTTGGTTAGGTTACTTTACTATTTCCTCTCTATTCCATACTCTTTGTATCTTATACTGATGTTCTTTTCCCCAACTCTTTGTTGAGTGGGTCTCTAATACACCAAACTCTTCTTTTTTTTTTTCTCTACTTTTCTCTCCTCTTTGTGTCCTTAATTGGCCATAGGGTTGGATATTTTAGAACTGTTTCTACTGGAAGTGACAGACTCAAATGGCTGCAAAAGTAACTTTTTTGACTGTTATAATAGAAATGCCAGAGCTGGCTTGAGGTACAGCTAGCTTCAGGTATCTAAACCGATGTCACAAGGACATATTATCTCCCATCTTTCGACTGAGTTGTTCTCTGGTTGGCATACATCTCAGATTCTCTGTTGAGATGAGATTAAGATTCTAATTTATGACTTCTCCAACATTTCCAGACTTGTGGCTCCATCTCTTAGTGGTTTGAGCAAACATCGTAGGCTTCATTTTTGATTACATTGTGTACCAGTGAACCAATACCTATGGTCTTAGAATTGAAGCCAGTAAATGCTATACCATCATGGCAATTCAGATTAAGTAGTTAGAAGATCAGTTGAGAAATCCCCCAATCAAAATTAAATGCCATAAATGTGGGAAGCTAGACCATATGAGAGGAGAGTGTTGTAAAGGTAAAAAATAGTAGACCACCAGGAGTTTGCTCCAGGTGTAAGAAGGGACATTGTTGGGCAGATGAATGCTGCTCTCAATTTGGTAAGAATGGAACACCCTTATTGTAGGGAAATTATCAGTCAGGCCCAATTTTTTACCGGGACCCACTAGTAAAAAATACAAATACAGAAAGTAAAACAACACAGTTTCTAGAACACCTTCATTTCAAACTATTTTTTGGTAAAATCATCATTTCAAACTATAATAGAAAATTCATTCAACTTTCTGCCAAGGGAGGATCCTGCCTGCAGTGTGCTGTACATTTGGCACCCCAGAGACAAAGATGGGGAAATTAAACCAGACCAATAAATGACAATGGAGGAAAATTAGATAAATTGGATTCTTCTTCTTTCTTTAATTAAATTATTTCTTTACTTATATGGCCCAGAATGCCCCCCTAAATTGAAACCAAATTATTTTTTGTGTATATGACTATCTTGCATCTATGGTTAGCGTACCTCTTGGCGGCTTGTACCAGGAAGGGCGTCCCACCTGAGAGCTGGGATGCGGACTGCAGGAGCAAAAAGACACTTGGGAGTTAGTGAAGTGACAAGGAATAACAAAGGGTAATGCAAAACTGGACGAGTGAACCTTTGAACTGTGTAGGGACACTCCATTTGAAAAAAGATCTGGATTCAACTAGCAAAGGAAAAACTCCACAAGAAAAGTAGTGTCTTTGTTCGCTAGCAGCTAAAGGCAGAAGGAGCAAAAGGCAGTATATTGCTCACCAACTAGAAGCAGCAAGGGGCAGTGAAAGCAATGGGATCTTTGCTACCAAGGACCCCAAGAAAAGTGGGACTGTTGGTTGCCTGCTACTGGCAGAGGTAGCAAAAGGTGGTAAATGCAATAAGATCCTTGCTAGCAAAGGCCTTGAGAAAAGCAGGACCTTTGTTTAAAGCGGTAGGATCTTTGCTACCAGGGACTGCAAGAAAAGCAGGACCAAGAAAAGCAGGACTGTTGGTCGCCAGTTACTGGTGGAGGTGGCAAGAGGTGGTAAATGCAGTAAGATCCTCGCCATCAAAGACCGCAGGAAAAGCGGGACCTTTGTTCATCTGTTAAATTGTAAATTCTCTCAAAGATTTTCTCTGTTTGAAAGACCTTTACAGAAATTAACATTATAATCACCGTCTTTTCCCTAGCTGCACTGGGCTCCACCACTTAGCCCCTACCTGGAATTCTGAATTTTGCTTAAGTACTCTGTTCTTTTTGCCTAGCAAGAGAAAGGGCTATTCAACAAGAACAACTGTCTTTGCTATACTGGAAACCATTTTAAGATGCACAAAAAAGGGAGAATATGTAGCACATCGTATAGCTTCATGGGAATGAAAAGCAAGAGCTAAACTTGGATCTCTCTGTAATTATAAGAAACACTGGTAACATCTAGGTAATATAACACCTTGGTGATAAGGGCATGGGGAAGGGATTTGGCTCTTCTTAATACAAGAGCAAGTGAAATGAGAACATCAGTGATTGGCATTGTCAACACCTGTGGTGCAAGTAGCCATGGGATCATGTCTATAAGTAGCTGTAGGAGAAGTCAGTTGGGGGGTGGGGGGGTCCGTCTTTGAGGGAGAAAAAAAGTCTTAAAAGGAGAGTGAATCTTAGCAGTCTTTTTAGAAGGGCCTTGGGCAGAGGCCCTCCCAGCAGGAGGAACGAAAGAGTCAGAGTGAGCGAGTCCATGAAAGAATGCTCTCTCTCTCCCTTCTGCTAAAGCAAATAGCCCTCAGGCACCTAAGGGGAGTTGTTCCCAAGCAAGGTAGCACAGTGGTCCGTGTCCGGACAGTAACCTAGGCCAGGCCTGGAGACCTGGTCAGTCCCAGGCCCTGACAGGCATCCTACAGTTTTATTTGTTAAATTTGGCCATCTACTTGTTGAAGACTTATTTAAAAAGTTTTCCACCCTGAAGACTCACTAGCATTATGAAATACGATGACCATTGTTCTGTCTCTAGACATCAAAGATCAGATGGAAACATATAGTGTGATTAAAAAGTTAACAATTGAGGGTTAAGCTGTACTTTAACTATTATCCTACAACTCTTGACTGAAAAGAAATTTCTTTTTTTTTTTTTTTAAAGACAGAGTCTCAAGCTGTCACCCTGGGTAGAGTATGTGGCATCATAGCTCACAGCAACCTCAAACTCTTGGGCTTAAGTGATTCTCTTGCCTCAGCCTCCCAAGTAGCTGGGACTACAGGCACCTGCCACAACACCCTGCTAGTTTTTGGTTGTAGTTGTCATTAATGTTTGGCAGGCCTGGGCTAGATTCGAACCCACCAGCTCCCATGTATGTGGCTGGCACCCTAGCCACTGAGCTACAAGCACTGACCCATTGACTTTTTAATTATTCTGTAGTTTCTCCTGCATTTCTATGTTTATTAAGCAGGACCCACTGTCAATATGATACAAAATTTAAGCCAGGCTTTTACCCTTTTGATCTCAGTAGACTGCCCTGAACTCAGATATTCTGCCTTAAGGCACAATCATTCTTTTGTCTTCTGGTCAAGGCTCTGTACTCTTTATAGGGCATTTCATTTCTAACTTTCTCAAGAAGTCTGAAGGTTGGTGCTTACACCAGTGTTTACAAGTGGTTATGTAACATGCCCAAAGTAATTATTTCTTTCTAGTTTCCCCAGTTCTTAAAAATACTGACCTGTAATCCATATTAATTACATATGGATGTAGTTAAGGGAAGAAGAGAAATAATACTTACATTTTTGAAATGTGGTTTATTCTTATTTTTAAAGAAATTCCTCCTGACCTAGTCTGTGACATTAATCGAGACTGTGCCAACACCTTCATTAAGTTCTTACTGGAAAAACAGAAATGGCCTGAAGTGCTTCTGTTACTGACCCGCAAAGTAAGTGGGGAGCCACCACTTGGAGACTGCCTCATCCAAGATTGCAGCTTCTCAGACCTAGACATCTGTACCATCATCCCTCACCTCAGTGCCTGGGACCAGCGGAAGACTCAGCTCCTGGGATGCCTGATAGACTGTGGAGGTAAGAATGACTAAGTCATAAGCATTGGAGAATGGTCTAAATTGTCCAGATGGGGAAGTCCAGGCCACTGCCTGCCTTTCGCTTGATTTTGGAGATATCACAACATCTATCTCATTCTTACACCTATATCTTCTCTTCTTGTTTTGAAATAGTAATGGAGTTTACTGCTCCATAAGTGAGTTGCTCCATAGGAACTCTGCATGTTTATGAATTCCAGTTATCCCCAATCCCTTTTCTTTTGTGTGGGGAAATCAGGTACGTGGCTCTAATTCAGCCTACAGTGGCCATCTCCTCCTAACCTCTGGCTAGACTTTTCCCTGTCGGGGATATGCTGTGTGGATTTTGTCAACTCTTGTGGTATTCTTTTCTAATCAATGGATTAGGATTTTAGATGCTTGATTTTAAAGAAACAGCCAAATAATTGGTGGGCAGAAGCATCTGCTGCTTTAATCAGAACAATCACACATAGCTGGAAGTGTGTCTGGAGTGTAAAGACATCTTGCTGGATTGGGTTTCGTTTTTCAACTAATTAGAAACACCAGCCTTCTCCCACCCCATCCCTCACACTTCAGTAATGCCATTACTAACTGTGTGGCCCTAGGCATACTAGTTATGCCTTTATCTCCTCATTTGTAAAATAGGAATCATGGTAGGCCATCTTTCTTACAGCTGTTTTGAATAGCAAATGAGTTAATATATGCAGGATTTTGAAAGAGTACCTTAGCTGTGTGGTTTTCTGTTTGCTCTGCCCTGGAAGGGGAAAGTCCTTTATACAGAGCATCAACGTGCTGGTTCTCAGCCCTTGAAGTGCCATACACAGTGCAAAGCCTTTAAGCGTCGCTTCTTCTACCCATAGTTTTCAGATGGTAGATGAGGTAGCATCTTTAATTTATTTCTTTAAACCCCTTCCCTGTGATGGCAGACCAGTGAGACTATCTATCTGTCATCCAAGCTAATCAATGGAGAAGTAGTTGCCAGATCAACAACTTCATTGTATTTACAGAAAAACCAGCAATTCTGAAGAGCACCAAGGATATCTCCTTAAAGAACTGCTCTGCTCTCCAGTTTTCCTTTGTCAGTTGTGTACTTTGACAACAAGGGCTAAAATTAGCCATGTTATCAATCACCATAATATACATTTGACGGACCCTCCCCATAGGTTTCAAGGTTACAAAACATTCCTGTTTTCAAAAATGTTTATATCTTCAAAGCAAAGTACTTTTATTCTAGACTAACTTTATAGCTAGTCAATACTTTGCACTATCCCAGGTGCACAAAGTGTACTGGGTCCTTGACTGGCTCCATGGGCTTGGTGCATCCAGTCTTCTATCTTTATCTATGACAGAAAGCCTTGTAAGTGAATAAACAACTCTAGATGGAAGCATATGGGCCCATCCAGCCCTGTCAGGGCTTGTCCAGCCACTCCCTATGTATAATGGCTATTTTGGATAATAGTGGCCGTGATCACTTATATGGCAAGGTACTTCCTTTCCTTGGAAACCTCAGCTGTCATGGAATTCTGTTTTATTCCTTGATTTATCAAGCATTTATAGAGCACATCACAGGATCAGGGGCTAGGAACCACAGAGGTGAATACACAGCTGCTGGGCATGTGCTGGAGGGCTGCAGATCAGCAGTGGGAGGGTCTGCCTTCTGGTGAAGGTCCGGGGACCTCAGAGCAGAGTGGTTGTGTGGATTGAGGACTAGGAAGGTGATGTGGGGTGGAAGAGGTGCCAGGAAAGATTGCAGTTGAGGGAGGAGTTTAGTAGAGCAAGGGGTGTAGGAAGTGTAGTCATACCACTTGGGTGTCAGGTATAGTGTTAGGCAAGTATTGGTGTTTCACTTGTTCTTGGACAGAACAATTCTTACTCCATAGAAGTGCTGGTGGTTGGAACTATGCTTCTCTGGTAGGACAAGATGGGGAGGTGGGGAGGTGGAGAGGTGGGGGGGGGGACCACAGCCTACAGTCAGGGTACTGAAAGATCTGGGCTTTTACCTGAGGGCTCTGAGAAACCTTTGTCTCCCAGAAAGTGTGGTGGTCAGAGTATCTTGGAAGATAGGTCTGTATCAACTCTTCTCTTATAACTTAATTGTTAAAGTGACCCCTCCCTCATCAAATGAACCAGGCTGTGCCTGCCCACAAGAGTGTAGCTTACAGTGCCCTTCCCTTCTGTCCTTGCCTAGCCTTGCCTGAGGGTCTCCAGGAGAGTCAGGAGAGACCACTTGTTATGTGCCTGAAACACAAGGACTTTGAGTTGGCTTTTCTTCTCCTGACCAAGGGTGCAGACCCCCGTGGTATTTCTCTCACAGAAGGTGATACTCCTTTGCATGCAGCACTCCATATCTTTCTAGATATTAAAGGTAAGTATGTGTTTTTTAAGTGATGTTTTCCTTAAGGGGGAAGCTGGATATTAGAACTGATGCTGTGTTTTTTGGCCTTTCCTTTGGTGAAAACAAATGATCTGAAAAAGGCCTATATCTCCTGGCCTTTATCCATATTGTGTTGGGAAGAAGTGACCATCATGATGAATGGTCAGGGTGTGTTGATTGAGAATTCTTAAGTTCCAAAGTTGGCTGTTGCTGGCAGACAAATACTTTTCATTTACAACATCTTCAAGTGTCCTGAGAGAAAGGATCTTGTGAGAATATTATAAGGTTATTTCAGGAGGTACTATTGACATTTGGGCTGGATAATTCTTTGTGGTAAGAGGCCATCTTGTGTACTGTAGGATATTTAGCAGCATGCCTGTTCTCTATCTACTATCTTTCAATGATACCACCCTGGTTATAACAATCAGAGATGTTTTCAGACATTGCTAAATGTCCCCTGGGGAGCATGTCATCCTTGGTTGAGAACCACTGGGTTATTTAATGTGGATCAAGTGTTTTGGGAGTCCAGTATTCTGAGATTCCACAAGCTGGCATGTCTCTGCTATCCACCAAGAAGAGTGGCTCAACACTCACGGGGTTTTGTTTGTGTTTTTCAGCTGACATCGGTTTTAGCTTTCTCAGTCATCTGTTGGATCTGTTCTGGTCCAACCCCACTGAATTTGACTACCTCAACCCCAACATCCAGGATAGCAATGGAAATACTCTGATGCACATCATCTTTCAGAAAGGCATGCTAAGACGCATGAAGAAGCTGATAGACCTGCTGGTAAAGTTTGACATCAATTTCAACCTGAAGAACAAAGAAGGCAAAGATGCCCGACACCGGATTAAGAAAACTGACTCTCTGCTTTTGGCCTGGAACAAAGCTCTGACAGAGAATAGGCGGAGAAGTCGGCAGGACTCTGCCGCCCACCCAGGGAAACCCCCAAGGTCTGCTGCCTCTGGTCATACATCTCAGCTCAAATCTCAGAGTTCATTCAAGTCACTGCCTTGCAGCACCACTGCCAGAAGTTTGTGTGAAGGAAGTGCAGTCCCTGATAGCTGGGAGACTCTTCCAGATGCCCAGGTGACCAGGCAGGAGTCCAGGGTCATCAGACCACGCTCTCTGAGAGAGCGCCTAGTGCAGGACATCACAGTTTTGATTCAGCAGGTTGAAGTGGATAAATCTCTCCCAGAGGACTGTCCCCAGAGCTCTGAGCCCCAAGAGGCAGTAGTTGGCACAGAAGGAAAGAAAGATGAGCTCCAGCAAACCTTGGGTGCTGGAGGCTCTGACTGTGGTGGGAAAAAGCCTGCCATCCCTGAGGCAGGAGAAAGACATGCTCAGGCTGGCATTAGGGCCTCACAACTTGCTCCTCCTGGTGACAGAGGGAAGGAGGGCAGCAATGATGAGGATGACTGGAGCATGCAGGAGATTGAGGCTTGCCTCCAGGACTTTGACAGTATGACCTGGGAGATTGAGTGTACTTCAGAAATGCTGAAGAAGCTGTCTAGTAAGGTAATGACCAAGGTCATAAAGAAGAAAATTATCCTTGCCATTCAGCAGCTAGGGAATGGTGAGTGGACCCAGGGCCTACAGAAACGATTGAAGCACCTAAAAGGAAACATCCAGCTTTTTGAAGCTAAGCTGGACAAAGGAGCACGGATGCTATGGGAACTTGCCATTGACTTCTCACCTCGCTGCAGTGAGAACCCAGAGAAAATCATCAACACAGAGTGGAACACATACTCCATGGAGAAGTCAGGCCGAGTCTACACAGAAATCATCCGGATTTGGGACATTGTTTTAGATCATTGCAAACTGGCAGATTCCATCAAGGCCATTTGCAGTGCCTATAACCGGGGCTTGTCCTGTGTCCTGAGGAAGAAGCTGAAAGGTATCAACAAAGGCCAGGTATCAGCTAATATGAAAATCCAAAAGCGTATACCCCGCTGCTATGTGGAGGACACAGAGGCAGAGAAGAGCATGGAGCACGTTGATCCCGAGTACTTTCCTCCGGCCAGTGCCGTGGAGACAGAATATAACATCATGAAGTTCCACAGCTTCAGCACCAATATGGCCTTCAATATTCTCAATGACATGACAGCGACAGTGGAGTACCCCTTCCGGGTGGGTGAGCTAGAGTATGCAGTGATCGACCTCAATCCCAGGCCGTTAGAGCCCATCATCCTCATTGGGCGGAGTGGCACTGGCAAGACAACCTGTTGTCTATACCGGTTGTGGAAAAAATTCCATGCTTACTGGGAAAAGGCTGAGCAGGCAGGAAGCCCATTACTGGCCAAACAGATATGGCCAAAGAGAAGGTTGGAAGTGGAACCTGGAAAAGAGGGTCCAAGTGGGGAGGAGGAAAAGGAGAAGGAACAAGATGAGGAAGAGGAAGTTTCCACTGAAGTAGAAACAGTAGACAGCATAGATGAGGAGCAGGAGAATGAAGCTTGTGCGGGGGGAGCTGGGGTGGAGCCAGTGAGGGTCAGCCAAGCAGCAGAACTATGTGCACCAGGACATCCCCACCAGCTGGAGCATTTACGTCAGATCTTTGTGACCAAGAATCACGTCTTGTGCCAGGAGGTACAAAGGAATTTCATTGAGCTTTCCAAATCTACTAAGGCAACAAGTCACTATAAACCACTAGAACCAAACATTCACAAACTCCAGGACCTAAAGGATGAGAACTTTCCTCTATTTGTCACTTCCAAACAGCTGCTTCTCCTGCTTGATGCTTCTCTGCCAAAACCATTTTTTCTGAGAAATGAAGATGGGAGCTTGAAAAGATCCATCGTAGGATGGTCCACACAGGAAGAGTTGACTGTCCCCAACTGGCAAGAGGATGAGGAGGAGGCTGAGGTGGATGGGGACTGTAGTGAAGAAGATAAAGCTGCAGAAATGCATGCAGGTGACAGTGACCCCCGGGTATATGTGACATTTGAGGTGTTTACCAATGAAATATGGCCCAAAATGATCAAAGGGAAGACCTCCTACAACCCTGCACTGATTTGGAAAGAAATAAAATCTTTTTTGAAGGGTTCTTTTGAGGCCCTCAGCTGTCCCCATGGGAGACTCACTGAAGAAGCATATAAGAAATTAGGGAGGAAACGCTCTCCCAATTTCAAGGAAGACCGAAGTGAAATATATAGCCTGTTTTGTGTATATCAGCAAATCAGGTCCCAGAAAGGTTATTTTGATGAAGAAGATGTTCTGTACAACCTATCCTGGAGGCTGTCGAAGCTCAGGGTACTCCCATGGTCCATCCATGAGCTCTATGGTGATGAGATTCAGGACTTCACCCAAGCTGAACTAGCACTGCTGATGAAATGCATCAATGACCCCAATGCAATGTTCCTCACTGGGGACACAGCTCAGAGCATCATGAAGGGTGTGGCCTTCCGTTTCAGTGATCTGCGCTCTCTGTTTCATTACGCAAGCAGAAATAGCATAGATAAGCAATATGCTGTTCGAAAGCCCAAGAAGATACACCAGCTGTACCAGAATTACAGGTCCCACTCAGGTAGGTCCAGGCTTTGGACTTGCCTACTTGGGGATATTTGGGCACACACCTTGGACTACTTTTGAACCTGCAGGTTCTTGTTAGGCTTTTGCAGCTAAAGTAAGGGCAATATTTTAGAGTTTGTTAGTAAATATACTCATGGACAAGCGATGTTATGATTTTGGCCACTACTCATTCCTAAGTTGATAATTCAAGTGATCGTTGGCTAGCCAAGTGATGGTTGGCTAGAAATGGACCTTTAAGTAATTATATCTGAAGGAGCTTGCCATGACATGAAATATTCCTAGGGAACACTTAAACTGCTTGAGAACTTCTGTTAAAAAACTTAGGAAATATCTGCTTGTTCTATATAAAGTAATATACCAGGTGCAAATCATTAATTTTTAAACAGGTTTTCTCTCAAGGAAAATCAAAAGGGATTGGAAGGCAGTAGGCACTAACATACACTCAGGTGCTTTTAATTTGTTTCTCAGTTATGCCTCCTCTTTGAGCCAGGCATCATGGGAAGCAGTTTAGATACAGCACCTGTGCTTAATCTTCACAACCCTACAAGGACATTAGTCCCATTTTACATACAAAGGAGGGAAATGAGGCACAGCGGGTTTAAATAACATGCCAGTGCCAGAGTATTTCCATTATGGTTTATAGATATTAACAAATTCACTACCTATGTCCTACAGATATCCATGAATAATATGGAGTATTATTTTACATATTTAGGAACTTTTAAAAATGGGATCATGCTTGACATAACCTTTTGCAACTGTCTATTTTTGCTTAATGTTTTTGAGATTTCATAAGCATGTTGATAATGAGGAACTCTAGTCCATACAGTGAGATTCACATAACAAAACTCATCCACTTGAAATGCACAACTTAGTAGTTTTTAATATATCCACCAGAATGTGCAACTATCACCATTATTTAATTCCAGAACATTTTCACCACCACCCCCCAACCCCATAACCATAGCAGTCACTATTCATTGCCCCCCTCCTTCCACTCCATGGCAATGACTCATCTTTCTGTTTCTGTGGAGTTTCCTAATGTGGACATATCATATAAGTGGAATCATATAATATGTGGTCTTTTGTGTCTGGTTTCATTTCACTTAGAATAATGTTTTCAAGGTTCATTTATGTTATAGCAGGTATCAGCAGTTCATTACTTTGTGTGGTTAAACTGTCTTTTATTCTTTGAGTGTAGTTATATAAAAAATTACTCATCTAGGTAGATTGCCTGAGCTCACAGTTTTGAGACCAGCCTGAGTAAGAGTGAGATCCCCATCCCTAAAAATAGCTGGGCATTGTGGTGGCGGCTACAATGGCCAGCTTAGGAGGCTGAAGCAAGAGAATTATTTTAGCACCAAAGTCTGAAGTTGTTGTGAGGTATGATGCCACGGCACTCTACCAAGGTTAACAGAGAGAGACTCTGTCTCAAAACAAAAATTACTGTAGTTCCCTGGAAGGATATTTAAGTGGATTCCAGGTTTTCAGTGCAGTGAACAGTTTCATGCCCTCTTCTGATTCTTCCAGTAATGTGGATAGATTTTTGGTCCATGCTAGCTCTTGATGGGGAGGGGACTACAATAGCAGTTCTTAGATTCACCAGTTTCCACTTGTGCTCATGATTGGTTTATATTGTATACTTTTAATAACAGTTGTATTAGATAGTAAAATTTACCTTTACTGTTTGATAATAGCAATGATGACACACAGGCCCATTTCATGGTGTTCTACCTAGACCACTGCATTTTGCCTGGGATTAGGCAAAGGGCACATGGCCTCTAAGAGTAGTGGAGAGACTCAGCAAGATTTGTATTCAATCCAGCTTCAAATCCTGTTACTCGGAAGTATTCATTAACTTTTCAGACCTTGGAATCTATTTGTAAAAGTGTGATTGTCTCATCTGTCTCACTGGGTTGTTCTGAGGATTTGTTGTTGGAACATTAAACAGGATGATTTTTATGAAGGTACCTATTTTATGGTAGGCATTCAGTGAATGTTACTGTAAATGTCACTTAAAAGCTTAGGGAAGAAATGTGACCCAAGGATAAAACTCTCTGGAAAATCTCTCCTGCTCTAAGATTTTCATTATCTCATTTTATTTATTTTTTATGTTTTTCTTTTTTATCTCACATTAGTATGAGGGGACAAATAATTAGTTATGTTGTTTGTGTTTCTTAGGTAAAGTTCAAGTTGTACTTGAGCCCTTCACCCAGGGGTTGTGCTGTATACCCTTACATTATGCACTTTAGCTGAGAGCTTACCAATCCCTCTCCCTTCTCCTTTCCCCCCCTTTATCTCTCCCACCTAATTTGAATTTAATTACATCTTTTGTATTTACCTGGATGGAGTTGAAACACATTCTTCTTAGTAAAGGATCACAAGAATGGAAAAGCAATTATCCAATGTATGCAATACTAATATGAAACCAATAGATAAACAACTGCACACCCACACAAGATAATTGTTCTTCGAGTAATTCTCTCACAGCTAGTTACAGACCTGGTAGAAAAGTGATGGAGGCCTTGGTTGCTGTCCCAAGCTAGCATCCAGCACTACTGTGACCATGGTAATGTTGCTTCCAGTGCTGTAAGCACCAATGAGAAGGGGACAGGGTAATTCTTGTTTTCTTACCATAAACTATATGAGCATCTCTAATTGTTTACATTTCTTTTTTTTTTTTTTTT